CGACGCTTGTCGAGGGGCGTTATCAGCGGTCGTTCTTCGGCAAAGCGGAGCAAGGAGAAAATTTTGGCAGGTGCTTTGCTTCTGAGTAAACTTGCTTTATGTACGTACAGAAAAGCGTTGCCTAATTTGCTGTCGACCTTAAAATCAACTATGAGCTAATTCGTAAATTAAAATTAAACGTTTTGGGAATATCATTTTCAACACAGAAATTTAAACCTTTAACTTTAGTACATATCAATGGTGTAGTGCAGAACTGAGCGCCAAAATTTAAGGCCTCAAAAATGTCTGGTATATTCAAGTAAGAAACGGCTTATTTTGATTGAAAAGCTAACGCCATCTTCATTCATACAAATCAGAGACATCATTCATTGTATATGCCATTGCTTCACGACACGTATTCAGAATGGTTTCAGTCATGATTAACTGTCTACCAACTTAACGGTGTCTACACAATTTATTCCCTATTAACTGTAAGCTGTCATAGAAGCGGTTCTCATCGCCCTCAATTCATACTTTTATGGAACCCATTGTACCCAGATAAGCGAATGATTTCAGGAGTTTTGAAGAACAAAGTTTGAATTTTGAAGAACAAAGTTTGAATTTTAAGAAATCGCGAAGCAAACTCAACGTGTTGGATGGAAGAAATAGGGGAAAAGATGTCTGGAATTTTTTTTAATCATATGAAAGGCATATCAAACATGGCAACCCTGTGCGACTAGCATAAGAGAAAAATTGAGGACATTAAAAGATCCGGAGAATCAAAAGAGATTCAAAGGAAAATAAGATTTAACATCAGAGCCATTGGCGATTAGGCTTTCTATTATGCAATCAATATAGACATATTCTGACAGAAAATGTGAAAATGTGTTCTAGCACTGATATTCTAACACAAAATGCTCCGCCAGATGAGTGAAGTCTGAAGGTGCAATGGATGTTAAAGCAATCACGGTTATATGAAGAAAGAACAGAAAAGTTGCTCCAATTTAATGGAAACAATTCTTCGAGAGAATGCTAGCTTTTTTCTGCACCTCACGCTGAACAGCGGCTGGAAAAACGGTAATTTTCAGTATATCGTTGATGCCGTATTCAACAATACGCACTACCTTATTACTTGTATTTTATTAATGTGTTCGCCAAGCAACGGTTAATTGTGCTGAAAGAACATATTGACATTCAATAATAGCACTAGTTAGCGCCTTGCAAAGTATTTCATAGGTTTCTGCGAACAATTGTTATTGGAATAACATGGATTGGAATAAAGCGGGGTTTTTCATTAACGAAACTGCCGCTTTATTGGTGGTTTGATTTCCTTAAATACTTACGTCGGCTAAAGATTTCTCGAACAGATTTAATGCTGGGCACTCACAGGTTCCGCACCACTCTTGATTACATTAAGAATGAGGAGAACGAAAGATATGTCTGTATCCGTTCGAATGGCCGTTTCCCTTAGGCGTAGACGATGGGTAATATTTGTAATACCCTTGTTTCACGAATTACCTTGCGGCGCTGATTCCCTTTGTTATGACATCAGAAGCGGAGCCTTATTTTTGAAGGCAATATCTTCGAACCAAATAGTCGTAGCCATACATAATTTGCGATTCGCTACCACATGATTTAACATGAAATGTGTCAGCGTTCATTCAGCGAGATGACACCATGAAACTGAGTTTTGACAACACTCTTGCGCTCGGTTTCACAAGGTCTGACAGTTGAAAATGGTGCAAAAATGTGATTTTATTTTCATTTCCTGGTATAATTTGTTGAGTGCAATCAAGGTCTTCTATCACGCTTACTTCTGAGGTTTTATCCTCCGTTTAGGGCAACATGCTGAAAGGAATTTGGTACATTTTGCTTGGGGATTGAAATAGACGGTGGTTCCAACCGTTCCTTTTAAGCTTGTAGTCAGAGTATTATTCTCTCCGATAGAACTGCATAGGGCTTTCTTAGACGAGTCGCTGGCCTTACAG